AACCCAGAGCTTGGGTTCAAGATGCCTGGGAAACCCAGGCTGCCTGGGTTCCATCGAGACCCAAGCCCTGGGTTCCAAGACGCCTGGGTTCAAAGGAACCCAGTAGGCGTTGGGTTGCAAGGGGAAAAGAAAGGGAAATAGAAGAAAAAGGAAAAAGAAAAAATTTTTTAAGTTTTTTATATATTTTTTTCCATGTCATTATTATTTTTTTTTCGTGTTGTCTTTTTTTTCAAGTATGCATCTGATGTGTCAAGTTATTTGGACACGTCATCATTCTCCAGTTAATTAACGGGACATGTCACACGGAGGACTAAATTGGGGTCAAAATGGTAAACAGTAGGGACCAAATCAGGGATTTTTTGAGTTGAGGGACTAAGTCGGGGGTCCGTACGATAGTTGAGGGACCAAAATGGAGGTTTAACCTAAATTATATCACATTATTAATTTTATATTTTAATCTCAAAATTTCATCTCCAATTTATATTATAGTCATTTCGACGCATTCAACATTTCGCCCACGCGACGGCTGGGGCGCAATACAATCATTTCTTTTCCTGTTTGACCTAACTAGAGTAACTAATGGAGTGGCATTTGCCCCTGCCGCCTTGACTTTGACTGCTTTAGTTAGGTGTATTAGAGCAAGATATTCATGGCTAAGACCATGGCTCCACCTTATTGCAAACCTTTCTCTTTCCCAAATTCTGGAGTTTGAAGTTAACACAGGTGCACTTTTCTAGTAGCAAAAAATAAGGACTCAATTTAATGTTTAGTTTATTCCTTTTAAGTTGAAATTTAAAGCAAGAGATTTTGAATTCAATTTATACAAAATATAAAAGTAAGACAAGTGAAAAAAAAAAAAAAGAGAGAGAGATTACTTGTTGCTTAATTTAAATTAAAAATTATTTTATACATTTATATAACAAAACCTTCATTTGTGAGTGCTTTACACATAATTTTTTTATACAATATTTTATTTAAATATATAAATTTTTAATTTTTAATTAATTTTATTTAACTTTTTATATATTTTACTAATTTAATTAATATTTTATATATTATTAAATAAAAAAATAAACTTATCTTTATAATATAATATAATATAATAATGACAAACAAAACTAAAATTATAATTTAATCAATACCACACTAAACACGTTTAACATGGCCTAAGAAATTTTTGTAGTACCTTTGATGAATTTGCTCTATTATTATTATTTTTTAGATTAGATATTTAGGGTTTTTTTATTTAATTTACGTGTTTTATTTTAAAACTAATTTCTCTTTATATTCTTAAATTAAGTTATTATATTCAAATAAATCAAATTGCTCCCCTATTCGTTCATTAAATAAAATATTTTTTTAATTTCACTAATTTGAATTGCATTTTTTTATACTATTTGAATTATAATATTATATTTTAAATAAGACTTAATTTGAAAGTACTATGTCATAATTATAACAATAGCTTTTTAATCTTTTAAAATAAAAAATATACAAAATATATTTAATATATTTAATTTTTATTTTAAAAAATAATTTAAAAACAATTTTTTTATATTACATTTTATAATATCCAATGTATTCATTTATTTAATCACATGTAAATTTTGTATAAAAAATAATAAAAAATTATTCTTATATTATTATTTATTTTTTTATCTTTTTATTTTAAAAAATATATATTAATTAAAATAATAAAAAGACTAGAAACCTAAGATTCCTCCATTCACGCTCCAAAGCGCGAGTGGAGAAGGGAACACTAGTCACAGATGTTAGGGGACAAAAAACATGACAAAATCCAAGGTACTGGCGACAGAACCAAGATTCAGAAAGATATATTCCCGCATGCCCTTACGCGTGTAACCGACCAATTAGTTTATCTTCCACCAATTTAGAGATTGTTTAGATAAATATATACAGGGTGAGAAAAAAGAACACACACGGCGTTGAGAAGAATGGTTGGACCGGCGAGACCTCTGTTCGTCCTGTTTGGCTCTTCCATTGTCCAGTTCAGTTACTCCCACCAAGGATGGGCTGCTGTTCTCGCTGACATCTACGCCCGCAAGGTATACATATCTCACACCTCCTTGTCCACCCTAAATTTTTCCCTGTTTTAGGGTATCTTTTGCTACTGTATTCTGGGAGTCTTGTCTTGCATAGAGCTTTCTAGTTCTTCTGTTGAAATTAACCCATCAAATCAACTGTTTTCTCATTCCAAAGACACCCCTTTTTTGAATAATTTTGTTACGTCTTTTTGACATCTAAGTAGGAGTACTCATATACTTCGATTGCAAATTTCCCCGTGCATCCAGGGAATTCTGTTCTGCTGAATAAAGTTTCATGATTCTGTGGAAATTAAAGCATCCCATCAACTATTCCCTCATTTCAAGCGCATGGCAAAACGCAATCATTGAGTTTATGATAATGCCATAATCTGATATTTCTTTCTTTTTTTTTTAAGAAAAATAAAAGGTTTTTGTAGATAAAAATCATAGGCTTTCGTCCAATTATCCTTTTGTTTTCTTTTATAAATTTGAAAAGAAATTAAGAAAAAAAAAAGAAGGCAGGAGTAGTAGTTGTTTGCTGCTGTAGTTATGGCCACACGAAATATATTTTTAATAATTAATTTGATTAATATTTTATTTTTTATCTCAAAATAATTATTATTTTTTATTAAAGATTTAAAGATAATTTATTTATTTATTAATACTACCTTTAAAAAAATTAGTAAAAAATAAAGTAAGATTTTTTGTGATAGAATAATTAATAAAAATAAATAAATAATAATAAAATTAAAATAAAAAAAATATTTGTTTATCCTCAAAAATGAGAAAACAACAATTAATAAGATAAATTTAAAATCATGTAACAACAATTATTATAATAACAATTATTTTAAGATAAAGAAATATTTATTTATAAATTATTTTTAAAAAATTAATTATGATATTTAAAAATGTAAATCTATAAACTAATTTTAATATTTTATGTAATAAATACTAGTTGATTTCAATTTGTGTGACCCCAACCACAATTACAGTTGTTGGTTAGTCCTTTTACTTATTATTATTATTATTATTAATATATGAATTGAAAAGCTGATGCAGACAAGGGATGAAATAAATTATTATCATTATTAATTTATTATTATTATTATTTTAACACAGCACCTAACACAATGGAGGTATGCAATGAAAAGGGTTGAGATAAATTGCAGAAACAACCAAAATAGGAGAGTGACTGAGAAAGCAATATTTTTTTCTTTTAGAAAAAAAAAAAAACCAAAACAAAAATAAAAAGAAAACAAGAAAGTGGACTTTTGTTGTGTCAGCTTTCTGGTTTTTGATGGAACTGGAAGTGCTTTACCACCTGCTTATTGCATTAATTAGTTGGTCCATAATCAATTCCCATTCTGTTATGTTAATCAGAGTGGAACACTGTGGTTTAGTCTAATGTAATGTTCCAAAACTGTCTCTTTTTGCCTTCTCTCTGTCCCTTTTTTAACCAAGCACATTTGGGACATTACAACTTTTTGTTGCCCATTTTGTGTTAATTTGTACTGGGATTAAAACCAACTCTGTTTTTCAATTGGGCATAGGCAGACATAGTGCTCAGAGGATACGCAGGATGGAATTCAAGGCGTGCGTTACAGGTCCTAGATCAAGTCTTCCCAAAGGTACAACATATTTTTCCTGTAGATTTATATGTAACATGAATAGCAATTCTACCCATACCTGATATATGGCTACCCTCATTTTTTTCTTTTTATTCACATCTTAGTGTAATTACAAATGCCCCGGATTGATCTTGATCAAATGTACATGTCTTCCTATGAGTTACACTTGATGCAATTATATTTTTTTTTTATCAAGGATGCTGCTGTACAACCTTCACTGGTCATAGTTTATTTCGGTGGCAATGACTCAATGCAACCTAACCCATCTGGTCTCGGCCCTCATGTGCCTCTTCCGGAATATATTGACAACATGAAGAAGATTGCTACCCATCTCAAGGTTATTTATTGAATCAAAGTGTAGTTTAACTTAACCTCTGGTATTATAGAGTACCAAATTCCTCTTCTGTGAAGAACAAATATATGATTAAGCTTTGATTTTTGATTCCCAGAGTCTTTCAGAGAATATTCGCTTAATTTTTCTTACTTCTCCTCCCATCAATGAGGAACAAGTACGTCAATTCTTTGGACTTGAGGGTCGAACAAACGAGGCCTGCCGGATATATGCAGAAGCTTGTATGGAAGTGTGCAAGGAGATGAATGTGAAGGGTATTAATCTCTGGACTGCCATCCGGCAAAAAGAAGATTGGTTGACAACCTGCTTCACGTAAGTTCTACTTTTAGACACCAACAGTTTTCTTGCTGAAGAAGCTAAGTCAATCCAAATGTAAGACGTTTAGAAAAACTCTATGTAATCAGCACTTTTCCGGTTAAGACTGAATGGACTGTTTGATTCTTATGTAGGGATGGTATTCATTTTGCATCGGAGGGGAGCAAGATTGTGGTTAAGGAAGTGCTGCGAGCCATTAGAGAAGCAGAGTGGGAACCAAGTCTGTATTGGAGGTCCTTGCCGTCTGAATTTGAGGAGCTGGAGGATTCAGCTTTTCTGCCAGTGGGAGATGATGGGAAGCAAATAAGAATTTCTGAGCTTGAAATTCTAAGATATTCAGAATGGGAATAGAGTCTTACATATATATACAAAAACCGTTCAATACAAACTGATTCTTGATTTGTTAAATAATGTGGAGACAGGGAGAGGTGTTGTAAGAGCCCTCCATCACAACCCTGTGGAACCTGGGGCCGTTGTATGGACTCTAGAGTTTTTATTGGGTTAAATGTCAATTTTAATCCTTAAATTTTTAATTTTGAATATTTTTAGTTTTTAAATTATTTTTTACACCCTTTTAGTTTTTAAACTATAAAAAATGTTTTTTTTTTCATTCTTCTATCAATTAGTAGGTTGTTTTTAGTTCTTCTATCAATTAGTAGGTTAAGTCTAACCTTATATTGATATATGCACAAGTTTAGAAATTAAAAATATACATGTACTATAAGTTGAGAAATTAAAATTGTAAATATTTAAATATATTTAATGGAAAAATTGACGAAAAAATTTTAAAAATATATTTGTCATAATTTAAGGAATAAAAAAATATAAAAAATAGTTTTAGGATTAAAGTTCACAATTAAAAGTTTAAAAATTAAAATTCGCATGAAACCTTGCTGTTTTTGTTAATCTCCCGCATATGTTACTGAGTTTTTTCTGATTTTAATGAAAGTTAATTGTCAAAGTAGAACTTAGAGAATAGAAATAATTGTTTTTTTTTTATTTTAATTTTGAGTTATATAATAAAAGATAATTCTATTTTACCATTTAATCCAATCCACATAAAATGTCATAAAATTTAAAATTAAAATTTTTTACTTCTATTCAAATAGATTATTACTAAATTATATTTAGATTCTATTAAAAATAAATTATTTCTACATTATATTTTTTTATTAATAGTATTCAGGTAATTTTAATATTTCCGTTACACAGGCTTTTTAATCCGTACTGCAAACACCGATCCCATGGAAGAATGCCATTACAGATAACATGCTTGAGTGGGTTGACGAGATAATTTTGCCAGTGAACTTTGAAAGCATACAACTGCTGCTCATTAAAATTTCTGCTCTTCAAGGTTATATTACATCATCTTTTGAGTTAGAAACGCAGTTCTCATTGTGATGAGGATACATCTAAAATACATGTTCAAGCCAAATGTGTAAACATTAATCAAACAAAGAATAAAAATACATACACGAGGCAAAAAACAAGCATTAAAAAGGGAAGTAGAGGCACTGGAACATGCTACTGCTATTACAGGTAACCCAATTTGACACTTGGAAGATGTTTGCCTACTTCTCTAAATCTTCAACATTTGGGCAAAACTAGGCCATCCCCATCCAGAGTATGAAAAGAACACATTCAAAAGAGATGATAGAACAGAGAATTCTGACAGCTCAAGGAAGCACAACTTCAAGGTAAAGCCTGTTTTAAGTGGAAAGTTGGAACCTGCCACTGGGTTTTTTCCTCCTCCATCCCTGAATGCAAGCACAATTGTTATTTGAATACAGAAAAAATAAGCGCAAGCAACCATTCAAGATGAGCAATTTAAGGGCAAAATAGTAAACAAGAACTAGAAAGTAGAAACTTACAAAGGCAGCATAGTATACAAAGGTCAATCCCGCTAGAACGACGAATGCAATTTGAAACACGTTATACCTTTGACACAACCAATATACTCAACATGTTTAGCATAAGGAAAACATGCATATAAGGAAAAACATTGATGATTCAAAGTATGACTTACTTGTACAAATATTTAATCCCACGAAGAGACTGCAATGTATGGCCAAATATTTCTTGTGCAGCAGTTGCTTGAGCATAATACCCAAATGCTGTGGAGCAGAACTGTATTACACTGAAATTGCAAAGACAAAGTCCCATCAAATAACATTAGAAAACACTGAAGAAATGGCAGAAAGACAATCTGTCTTCACAATTTCCCTAATAAATCCCCACTATTACAAGTCAATGAGGATGGTGAAAGTATCGCTGTATGAAAAACAGCCAGTATTGTATTTTCGCAGACACCTAAAGATAATGTAAAAAAAGAGTGGAAGTAACCAACCTGATTGAACACAAAAGAATCAGCCCCACATTGAAAAGAAAAGAGTTCATTAAAGTGGCTCCCCACCTGTAAACAAATACATACAAAACAAATATAAGCCCATGATAAATATAAAAGAAAATAAAAAAATATAACATCAACTTAAATTTCATTACTTCATTGGGTGAATTGTGATGAAAACTAGTCTCAGACCAAGCATCATTGCTCCAGCAATCACTGCAAGCAGAAGGTAGATGCAGAAGAAGGCAAATGCTGCTGTCCCAAGAAGACCTGACAAAGTACAAAAGATACATTTCCAATGATTTAAAAGGGACTAAGAAGGAGGATTTGAGGAAGAGTAAAAGGAGGGAAAAGTATTGGAAATTACCCCATACATCATGCATCTTGATGAAAACCTCATTCAAGAAAGGATGAAGTGGTGGATTAATCAACAGGTAAACAATTATATGAGCTACCCAAGCCACCGAAACAATCAACCTAATAAAAAGCCAGAGAAGAGTTACAGAAACACCAGATGCAAGTTTTACAATTAGATTAATCTCTTTTTGAAGTTGAGACTCATCAAACCACAATCAGACTTCCTGCTATCAATGGAATGGCTCTTCCTCACATCACATTATCTCTCCACCATGGGAGCCCATGGTTCCATTATGCCCGTGGAGGATTAGCCTTTTCTAACCACCGCCTTTCAGATGTTTATTGATAATTCAAAAGCCAATATATATATATATATATATTTTTTAATTTGGGCAGCATTCAAAAACTAACACTTAAAGATACGAGTTTAGCACTCACCCTAAGAATCCCAAAACAAGTTTAGCCAAGTACCCAAGAACAGTCAAAGCCCATGCAGTTTCAGCCTGAAAATTTCAAAGCAAGTTAACAATGAAAGATGAGAACTGGAGAACAACCATAACCAAACCAAATATGAAAACTAGTTCAGCATCACCATGAATCACCTTTTCTCCTTGAGGGTACATCTCTTCCAAAAGCTTCACATCTTCTTCTAACTGAAGCAACTCCTGAAAAGTTAAGGCAAGAATGTAACAATTTCCAGGCACCATTTATAGCAGGCAACAAAGTGAAACCTTATTCAACTACTATTCTCAAATCACCCTAAAACTTAAAAACTGCAGAAAAAAGTCATCATCTAGCAAACCATGCCTTCGAACTCCCAAAGGAAAATGGAGTAATAACTTCAACTTACAACTGAAGCCAGGGTTCATAATTATTAGCTAAAATCCCATATGGTAATGATAACAAATAGAAATCATAATGTGGGACTTCAAATATACCTTTTCTACTGCCTTAACATTTTTCCGCCACTTTCTACCTTTTGAACCACTTCTTTCTTCCTGATGGAGAGCATCAGCTGCTTTCTTCAATTCTCTGGCTTTTTTACCAAGTTCAGTTGCCTCCTATAAATATCAATCACAACTATAAGCATATAGAATAAAACATGCAAATAATAACTATCATTTCACAATATCTCAGAATGTAATTTCATTTTGCTACACAGTAAGCAATCAAGAAGCACCTTAATATATTGTGAGCGAGTGATAACAGCCTTTGGACGCCGAATGAATGAAAAGATAAGACCTAGTGGCAAACAGGCAATACCAACACCACCAAATATCTGACAAGACATTTCAAGAAAAAGCATAATCAATATATGCTTGGGGGGGAGGGGGAGGGTAGAAGTAAGTTTAGAAAACCAAAATTTGCAATTGCAAGATACTGACCAATATCAAATACAGACACAAAATTAGGAACAATTTATCATACCGCAAAAAGGACTGATCCAACAATCGTAGCAAGAGCAACAACATATTCCGGAAAGGTAGTGCGCATTGTCCATGTTTTTTCTGATGAAGCATTTGCCAAATATGCAGAGCACTATATCAAAAGGGAATTAACAAAAGAGATACAGAATAAGTTTATTGAAGCTTAGTGAATGGAGGATCACAATTCACTACATGCTAAAAGAATACAATGAGGAAATGGAACTAATCAGCCACTAACCACACGTGTACCACTTCCACCTATACATTGTTGACTGCTAGAGAAGTCCCAAGAACTGGGAAAGTTTGTGTTGGATGATGATAGATGCATTACTGTGAAATCCACCTTTCCAACCAGACCTGATACACCAAAAGAGGGCAAAGCCAGTAAGACAAGCGTTGCAGGCAAACCAGAACATTAACATATAAATTTTCAACAAATACAAAACCTTCAGCAATTCAGTTACTATAAGGAGTTCGTAATATGATCCAGTCCTTGTCTGATTGCTGGCATCATATACGGATGTCATCATTGTTTAAACATCTAGACAAAATCTTCCAATAAACACAAGACCAGTAACCACCAAAATACTCCTCAAAACAGGTAATTAGCTTCCCAACAAAAACTACCAAAAAAAAAAAGCTATGTTTCTAAATGATGTAATTCTCTCTCTTCATTTTTTTTTTCTAGAGGCAATAGAATTGATCAATATTCTTATCCTTCCAGAACAGGATCTCGAATTCCAAATGACACCCTGCACCCCAATTTTCAAGTACATATCCCTAAAATAAAGCTTTCAACTCCAGTTTCCACTGTATCAAACAACTTCATCCACGGAAAAGAAACGGAAAACAAAAACACTAACCATATAGAATGCCAAGCACAAGAGCACACACAATAGCAGTTGTCACCACCCACAACAATGCACTCTTTATCCGTTTGCCAACACTCCTACAACCAAAGAACAAGATTAAATTAAAGGAAATGAAAACCCATTCAAATAAAAACAGCACTGTAATAACAAAAACCCTAGGAATACAAACTTGTCCTGGTCTCCTTCGTAGTAGAACATGGCAAAGGGGATAATGAAGAAGACAAGCACAGCATCCACAATATAAACAGCGAGCCACAGATCCTTCATCGGGAGGGTGAGATTACAGGCGCCATTGTATATGGCATTCTTGCACGCCTGCCGGTTGGCGACATCCGCCGGCAACATGAGAATGGAGATCAAGGCGACGGAAAGGCCCAAAACGACGACGAATTTAGGGAAATACGCCTGATTGGCGTCGTCCGGGTGCTGGAAATTGACGAGGAGATAGACATTGAAGATGAACACCAACACACACACCACTATCGCGACGATCACCAGAGCGAGGTTGAAATCGCCCATCGTTTATAGCTCTCCCGATCGAGCACTGTCGATCTCGAGAGACGCTGACGGAGATT